GGGTTCAACTGTTCGAGCACACGAAAGACGAAATGTTGTTTACAAGACACGGTGTCAAGATTGCGATAAGAACTATGTGGGTCAGACAGGAAGACGACTGTCTATAAGAATAAAAGAGAGCTTGTAAGAACCACTACGCTTGCTCACTGGTTTCAATACACACAGACGAAGAAGGACATTGCTTCGATTGGAACAACGCAGAGGTCCTAGCACAAGGAGAGACACGGAAAGGAAGAGTTCCTCGAAGCATGGTACTCGACGAAGCAGATGATAAACATGCACGTCGAGATTGACCTAGTTTGCGAAACGCTAAGATAGAGAGAATTAAACTTAAAAGCCGTCGTGAGCAGCTAAACGAGCGGTCAACAATACAGTCGCAACAGCCGGGGCAAAACCATCCCTCGGATCGCCCGGGTCTATCAGAGAAGTTCGGCAGCCGGATGGTCACGGGGCACAGATCGAGGAGGTCAATATGAAAGTCACTTGCTAAGCAATCAAAATGGACGACCAAGTCAGCGGATTACGTTTGACCCAACAGCGCACTGTAGAAGTCATCTCATGTGGTGATGAAACTTTTACATACCAACTGCGAAGCATGGCGAACAGCTGAAGCCAGGAATAGTAGAACCATGTCGTCCGCATACTCCAGGTTTGTCAGTCGATCACCACGCAGAAGTTCCACTCCGGAGTAGTTTGAAAGAATCGAGTCATTCATGATCATTTTGATCACAAAGCTGAAGAGGAAAGGAGTTACAGAACAACCGTGGCGAACACCATTCGTCATGGGGAACTCAGGAGAGTTTCTCGTATCCCCTTACATGGCCTCGGGAATCACGGTAGAGGGACTTCAGAATGGAAAGCTGGCACGTAATTCATGGATAGTTCATGGTCGGAATCCAGTGATGTGCTCCGAATTGACCGACAGTCATGGACCGATGTGCGCCACAAGTAGCTGATAGTAATATGAACAATTTGGGTCAATGACATTGAAAAATTCGGTGGGCGCCAGTTGACGAGGTGTGAACGTTTGCGCTAGAAAGAAGTGCTATTGATATAGAGATTGTGGTAGGCGCACAGTTGCAGGAAACGATCACCAGTGACTGTTCGGCGGGCGTCGACTCAGAAGCGCACTCCCAGGTGTTGTTCAGAAGCTGAACTATGACCCGATTGGGTATTCAAGTCACTAGCTACAAACATGATGTTAGTATCTTTCGTCATGCAGAGAAGAAATGAAAGATGGTAGTAGAAATCATCTTTGGTAACCTCCGAACTGCAGTTAGTAGAAGCATAAACGGAGGCGATGAAAAGGCACCTTGTCTTCATACGGTGCTTATTAACCTCAATAGAGGTTCGAAGTGAAACCGCACATATGTGGCTGTTCACCGGTATACACTCGAGCAGATTAGCTTCAGCATGTCTGTTGAGGGCGATACCAACAGCGTAAATATCTTGAAGCATTGACTCGGTATCACCAGACTCGAAGAGTGCAGTCATTATCGTCAGATTCAAAAGTAGGTAGTAGAAGATTAGTCACAACGCTGTTATCTTGTATGCATGCTTTGGAGACACAGCACACATCAATACCAAGAGAATGAAGAGTAAGAGTCTGTTGCCTGCTGGCCGAGCTGATCTAGAGTGCGGAGGTTAAAAGAACCAATGTGAAATGAAACTTGTGGTTTGCTTGACGAATTACGTGTATTTATGGCAGCAACAGCGAGGTCAGCGGCAGATTCTTGTTCACTAGACGGGGAAGAAGAGTTGTGAGGAGAGAGAAAAATACGAAAAAGTGGGAGTATGGTCGACGTGATCGATATGGCAGATGATACTCTCCGGCTGCCCATCCCGAGAGAGGGGTTTAGCTCGAGGTGCCCTATCTGTAGTCGTTGACTCAGCAGTCTAACCTACAAGGCAGTGGCGGATTTGGAGGTTCGCTTAAGGGACTCCACTCGGAGTATTTCGCTCAACAGTCTGACCTACAAGGCAGTGGGGAGCAAGTTCAGCTAGGGGGTGTGACTACAGAGATCTAATGGCATCCACTCGAGGCTTTGGAACAATCCACATGTATCTTGCTACTCACTAACGCTTCGTACCGCGCCGCTCTGCTACATAAACGCGCACGTATCGTGTCATTTCGGGTGGTGACGAAACGTTTGCAGCCAAACTGCCGAGCTCAGCGAACACTCAGACGACCAACTGAACAACCTGAGCTACCAACATTTTATTCTATATCACAGCTATCGTATAACGTTACGCACCTGCGACCACGGCCAACCGCAAGTGGGCGTTGGCGCGTTTGCATTACTTTTATCAGGGGATGCCTGGCTTAAGGCACCTGAAGGTGCCCTCCCAACGTCAGAGCTAAAGCGTGGCGCTCTTGCTCTACGCCAATCGACCGTAGACACCAATGGCAAGGTTTTAAAGGAAGAGGGACATCGACTTCTCCCCGGATTTTGAAACTGAGTTGGTCTGACCCCTAACCATTGACCTGTCTAGTATAAGTGGCTAAGAAGGCACTTGGAAAGTGCCACCCAGTATAGGCTCAATGAGTCAAACCATCGCCGATGAGTGGAGTTTTGTCCCACCTGTTCCAATCAGCTCACTAGGTTAACCTCCTGAATGCGGTTGCTGTGGTTTACCATGTTCCCATAAACAAATCGAAATGTCTGTGGTTAGGAACGCTGGTCACATCAAAAGATATTGTGATCCGAATATACAAGCCCCGTTATGCCCGTAAACAAAGTTTGTTCAATCTCTGTCTGCGCTGGCCCAACATTCACCAAGCGAACCAATTCTGTGACATCGGTCCCGACAGTGTGGTTACGCAACCCCAATCGATCTGTGCGAAGGAAACGGCGGCGAACCCTTTGACGTGTAACCACTGCCTTTCTCATGTCGGGACAAACATCTGTACCAATCAGTGTCCATTCCTTTGCATGTTAATCTTACCTGATCCGTACCTGCACGTAGACGAATCACTGAAAACAAGTGTTTGCCTCAGACTGGTGTGCTCTAGAAATCAGATGACTTCAGAGTCTATTAGTGACGTTCAAATTACACTTGTGGTACTGTGCACAAGTAAATGATCTGGTGAGGTCCCGGTGTACAGTGATCCCGACTTTGGCCCATACAGCGCTGGTGTATGCCCTGAAGGTGAAGAACAGGCCGACGCCTAGCCGCCGTCGTAAGGAGTTGGGGTACCCAAAAGCCCCCAGTTCGACGAGTTGACAATCATAAGCTATTCAAATACACAGGCGCACATATGAGCTTAATAAACCGGCGCTTGTCGGCAGCCATATAAAAAGACGACAGACCAATCCAATGCTGCAAAGAAGCTTTGGAGTTAAGAAAGTGAGGTCAGTACCGAAACACGAGGCAGTGTATTCTGAGTTACACAACAGTGCTTTCACAGTGGCTATAAGATAGATAGTGAGAGCAAAAGCATTCCGCAGGTTGGCCGACTGGTTGCTTAAAAGAGAACCAATTCGAATGGTGGACTCAAGTAAAAAGCTAGCCCGGGAAGGACACAGGAATTCTGACGTAACCGACCAGTTGTGATAAGTATGTGGAGTTCCGCATATGCACTCTTACCAATTGCAAAAGGCGAATTATAGACTTGACAGAATAGAGGTTCAAATAAGCGTGATGAACCTAGTCGAAGGAGGTCCAGATCCACGTAAACGGTCACAGTATGTTTGACGGCACTTAGGTAGCAAAGTGAAGTTAAATGCACTTTTAAGGTATCTAACAGAAATGAAGAAACACCAATTCGATTCCGATAACCGGAACCGAATATTTAGGGGCAATTCAGTGACGGTGAAAATAACATATGGATAGAAGTTCACTTCGCCTCTCTTTTCCCCAAGCTCATATAAAACTGGAAATTCGGTTAGAAAATGCAGCGTCACGAAAAATGAATACAAATAATTAGCTCCCATCGTAAATCAATGCGTAAGAATACCGCATCGATCTGCTAGACAAAGCCCACAAATCCTGTCAAACACGTCGAAACTTCGACCCAACGAAGTAGGATGAAAACACACTCAGAAATTCCTTCCACCATGTAATATCCCAAGGTACACAGTGCGCCGATCAATGAACACAATATCCGTACATAATGATCTAACGGTTCATTGGAATATTGTCGTTGAAAGAAGAAACATTAATTTCTTGTTTCACTTCACTGCACAATTTTCTATAACTAGACATGAGCTTGGGATTCAGCAGGTTTGCTAGAGTAGCAAGGGGTCATTCCAATTTTTGAACAACCATGAAAGGCCATGAAGAACAAGGTCCCTGTTTCGCTTCAGTGGACTCAATTGATGGTCACCGGAGAGATGTGTAAGTGGATGGTAGAGCTCATCCTTGGCATATTTTGAGTTGCTGCGCTCTGAGTCAGCGTTTTCAAACACTAGTAGTGTACATGGGGCCACCAGATGAGATCCATTCGAGCAAGTTGCCCCATGCACACCAAAACAACCGTCGTCGCCTCCATTTTGGACCGCGGAGCAGAACGAGCCGAGATGGTGTAATAGTGGCTTGAGCACAGTGACTACAGCTGGCGGTGAGCGACAGTATGTACAGTGATTGTGCGAAAGTCATCATGAGCGCACGCATAATGCCCATCGCTGACAGCAATGGATGGGTCAGTTGATGCTCTGTTGTCAAATATGAGGTGCGCACTTTTGGAACAACTAAAGTGCGAGGTCGAACATCGAAAGCAGTAGAAATTCGTGCAATGACCCCCTACGTGTTAGCTCTGCCGGTGGCCTAAAGGATTGCACTCTTGGCTGGCAATCCTTAGGTCACAGATTTGAATCTGCGTACGGGCGGCAGTCCTCGCGGTATACTCAGCCCACGTGCAACCGGTGTTAGTCGCGTGGCATCGAAACGTCGGTACAGTATGCCGGCGTAGTGCTGAGGACTTACCTTTTGACCTACGCGAAAGTTGATGACATAAGAATGGTGCGAACACATTCACAGACCAAGTGGAGAAAACTCACCACGGACTGAAGGAAGGGGCCAAGGATCCACCGAGCAAGTCGTAACAGAAGGAGAATAAAATTACAGGGGATTTCCATTAGAGACCTGTACCACAGACCTGAACAACGGACGGCAAGTAAATTCTCCGCGTTGCAGGCACACAATAAGGGAGAGAAACCGGTGTCAACTGACTCCTGATGCCATTTCCGGATGCGTTGTTGCAACTCGAAGAGGAAAGACAACTGACACAGTTTGCTGGTGGCATATTGGCTCAAAGCACCCAGGAAACCGGATGGGGTTGAGTAAAACAATGAGCGTGAAAGCCAAGCGTCTTGCGCATCACTCAAAGTGGCGTAACTGCCGAGGCAATAATGGACGGGACAAGTTAGAAAAATTAGCGTTCATTACGAGAAGTCGGACCGCAAAGGCTAGTTAATGAAAAATAAATAACTGTAGCGAATACAGCTGCCATGCGAAATAGGATCCTTTTGCCTCAGAACCAATAAAGCGCAGAAGAATCACAAACAGAAGTTAATAGAAACGACAAACTGCGTATACACATCAAGGTGGAGATAAGATTGCAGCGGCGATTAGACACTATCAAGGATCACGGGGACATGAACGAAGTTAGACGCGTTACAAAAGTTGCGACGGGATTTTGCTGATTCAAAGGGGTTGGGAGTGCACAAGTAGACTGACGCAATGCCAAAGACAGGAGAATTGATGGCACAGGGGGAGCATGATGCTGCGAGGTGAACAGAAAAGGATATGAAGTGATGGGATAGAAAGATATAACAACGCAGCGGCATATATTTCCCCCTAGCAGATGCCTGTATCCGAACTCACTGCTAGTGGTGGGACACTGGAGTCTGTGGGGAGTTTTGCCTACCTTCAAAGCTGCATCACTGCTGACGGGACTGTTGTACACAAGACTTCCATGCGTAACGCAAGAGCTCATCTCGCTTTCACTAGCCTGAGGCCCTTGTGGCACTGTCATAAAACCCGTCTTTCCATCAAGAAGAGAGATCTGTTGTGCGACTGCCGCGCTGTACATATGTACGGTTGAAAGACCTGGCCTCTTCGTACCGTTGACTTGTGCAGGATGTCTGTTTTCGAGAACCGTTGCTCGCGGTCCTTTGCTCGTGTGTGATGGCTGCACCATGTAAACAATGTAATTTCGATAGCGTATCTTGGGTGGAGGCGGACACTCGCTCGAGGAGCTAGTCTCGCTGCGTCAACTGTGGTGGCTTCGACATGCAATGCGCATGCTCGTGCAGCATCTTTCGCATCGTGTGCTATTCCAGGCTACTCGACAAAGCTGAACGCAGCATGGTGGACAACGGAGAAGCGGCATGAAAAAGTTGACAAAACCGTTGGCTTCGATTCTCTGTTTGGGGTGACAGAGACACGGAATATCGCTTGTTGAAGATCCTGGAAGTCATGACGTAAGACCAGAGTCAGTGGCGAATGTGCACTTCTACGTGCTGTGGTGATTCCCTTGCCCTCTTTTGATAAAAATAACCTATTGAAAACGGGAGTTGGAAACTGGACAAAAAGGTGCCTGTTATTCCTTATTCCGACCTCATTTTCCCATTCCGCCATAATCTCAACGCTACGATAGCTGTATCATCTGCTGAGCCTGATGTTGCATACATCATGCTTCGTCAGCGCAGTTAGGCTGCACCGACTTACACTTAAACTAGATCTTCTCAAGCTGGATATAAAGTAGTTCACCTTATTTGATTTGCTCAGTTCTATTATTCTGATGCATATTCCGTTTTAATGTTGCGTGTTTATTTTCCTCCAGATTCTGTGTTGGTTGTTTCATATTCCCGGTGTGGCTGCGCTTGATGTGAAGGTTGAAAGCGCGCCTACTTGTTTAACACCCTCCACTTCCATTACATGCTCCAGGAGAATGTGAATCGTTGCTGTGGGTTGAACGGTTTCTTTGGCCGTTCTAGGCGCAAAGAGTGATCCTACGCATCAAGTGTGGAGTGGACCACGACCAAGTCACTGCCTTGTGTACATCTGGTACGCATGATTCTCAATTTAGATAGTCAGGAACGCTGTTGCTGTGCATGCTAAAGGAGCGTGGGCTGGCTCCGTTGATGAAAAGTGACTCCCATCCACATGCTTCCCAGTCTTAGTCCTTGGAGTATACAGTGGATATCGGGTAGGTGGACGGAGCTGTGGGTGGTGCAGCGCAAGTCGCCCATGGTCCCACTGTAGGCGCAAATGTCCTCTGGCTGTCCTATGGAGACCTCAGTGACAAATCCGAAACCGGATACCGACAAGCATATATATGGCGATAGGTCCAGTAATTTTGCATGAAAAGGAAATACGAATAAACTCAGAATCTGATATGGAAATATCATTTGACTAGACGTTCGTAGTTGTGTATTCGTTCATTGCTCTCCTAGTTGCAAACTGTTGTACCGCCTCGTTGGCGTTACTTCAGATCAGGGGTCTGCTTTGATTTGCGTCCAATCTCACCGCGAAAAGCAAAGCCAAGCTTCGGTAGACGGTGCATATACAATAGGAATAGACGGTTCTATTTACTGGTCAGGCATACATTCTAATTAGAGAAACCATGCCTATCGCAGCTTTGGTGTCGTGGCCTCCACCAATATGAACGCGTGCCGTAAAATTGATTTGCCATATTTAGCCGTTTGTTCGAGCCAAGGCACGACCCCCGCTCTCTCAGTCGATGCCCAAGTGAGTTCGCCACTCACCCACATCGCATTCATTCATTCATTACACACATCAGCTAGAGGTGGGAAAACACCTCCGCTATTGTGCCGCATCGCAGCAGTGTTCGAAATTTAGGCAGTTTATCGCACATCCTGCGTGAAGCACGTTTCGGCTGTTGGCACGGACTAGTGTCAAAACGCAGTGTGGAGGCATTTACTCCGTTTGGTGGCCAGAGAAATCACATACCATACGGTAAGAAAAGAGCATGGCATGAACCCTAATGTTGAAAAAATCGGTCCTGTGGCCATGGCTCAACAATATAATTGCGTCGTGACTGGTGGGTATAACTGACGCACGTCCCGTACTCAACAGGATCAAACCTACTGGGTAAAACAGTAGTTTAATGGTGGATGTTTGTAAGTAGTGTGAAGTTCGAAGAAAGTAGAAGCCACGATTAAAATTCACGCACAATAATATGCCTCGACGGGGAGTCGAACCCCGGTCCACGAATTTCCGGTCCGTTGCTCTACCACCTCGGTAGCTCAGGTGGTAGAGCAACGGACCAGAAATTCGTGGACCGGGGTTCGACTCCCCGTCGAGGCATATTATTGTGGGTGAATTTTAATCGTGGCTTCTACTTTCTTCGAAAACAGTAGCTGCCATCACTTCCGCACTGATGATATCACTTCGAATGACGGTGAAACATTTGCAACCAAACATTGCAGAAACTGAACAAGCCTCCCGATATGCCATTAGTTGAGCAATTTTGAGTGTTCATCGACCTTCGGGACCCCAAAAAGATAGTTCGAAGACACCAACCAATGTCAACTTCGAAGTGAGGGTTTGTATAACTCATGGTTAATTCACAGTTCGGCCGCTCTTTTCCTTGTCCATCAACAACCAGGACGCACAAACAACGCATGTCACGAAAGTTGATGTGTTGGTATGCGCAACACGTGGCTTCGCCATCGGAGCTTGGTGCCTGATATAACGGTGCTGAGCGGTTAACTTATTCTTATTGCACCAAATACAAGACGCCGAACATGCTCATTGCTCACACAGTGTTCCAACCAAACATGAGCTAAACTGTGAACGCGTGGACGGTTTAACGTAGCTAGCCTCTTTAGTCTGTCGATTTGAAGGGCAAGGTTGTATAACGACATAGGGAGGTTGAGCGGACACCTCATAGTATACTCTGTCCTACAGATCAGGAGTTGTGTCGCAACGATGCAAAGGTGGCGATTGGTACAAGCACCTTAAACTTCTGCTATACGGTTCGTAAGCTCATCTTCTAGTTCATTGGTGCAGCAGCTATATTAATAGCTAAAGATCGGTCAACAGGCAGCATCTGGCCGAACATTAGAGACCCTCTCGATTGATATCTGCTGCTTATCGGAGACCCGCCTGCAGGACTCGAGCTGTGCTAACTTTGCGATCCCCTTCAGGTGACACCAGCAGCACTTTCACATTGCATCTATTCGGTGACGATGCAGCTTCGAGCACCGGCCAAGCCGGTGTTGGTATTGCCGAGTCCCATGGCTGAAGCTGCTCTGGTTGATTGGATTCCAATCAGTAGCCGATTGTGTGCGATCCGATTGGCTGGCTCGTTCAAAGCTTCGAAGCCGCACGGGACTAACAGGTGTCTATTCGACATCGCTGCCTATGCACCTACAAACCCTAGCGATGATTCGGTAAAAGACGAATTCTATCGACAATTGAACGACCTCCTTCGCTAAAGAAGAAGCACGGACACTAGTGCTGGCTAGGAATCTGAACGCTCAAGTTGGAAAATTATCCACTGATGAACTGCATCTGGACGGCCAACATGGTGTAGGCTCCCGTAATGATAACGGTGAGCAGTTACCATTGGTGTGAAGATGCTCGCTTATTGCTTGCGAGCACTAATTTCCGATACAGCACCCGCCGGAGGGTGACTTGGCGCCCACCAGCCTCGAACCAGCTATGGACGCAAATCGATCATATTGCGATAAGATAGCGATGGAGAGGCTGCGTCCAGAATTATCGCTCCATTTGGAGCACATGTGCGGACACCGACCACGCACTTGTATGTACTGATCTGCGAATGTGTTTTGGCGGACGCCCACGATGATGCTGTGAGCGCATTGCTACCAGACAAATGGCGAAGTCATCCGTTCTGAATGCCAATCAAAGCACGCTGTCATGCGAGTTCAGTAAGCGCTCAATGGATGCAATTGAAGCTCACTGGTCTCATATTCACCGGATCTTACTAGTAGCAGGAAAACCCTCATGTGGAAAGTCTAATCGCCAATATGGACAGTGGGTCTCTTTGCGGTCTCTAGAACCTATCGATGCTTGCCGGGATATTCCGGCTGGAAGCGAACACAGTGAGACTCGCAAAGAGCTCCGAGCAAAACTCCGTGCTAACCTGAAGAGAGATCGCGAATGCTGATGGTCACATCGTGCTTCAGAGATGGAAACGGTTGCTGCCCTTGGTAACCATTGTAAGTTATTCCGGCTGATAGGGGGAACGGGCAGCAGGAGACATGGTGTTAGTGAAACTATACGTGACGAGAGTGGACAACCTATCCACAACTTGTCAAAACGCTTGGTGTTGGGCTGAGCACTTCGAAAGGCAATTTAATCGGTCGGAATTGCTAGATTTCTTGCCGACCACTGATCGCCCT